GGTGGAGGTAAAAGTTCACCTGTATTACTGATTATTAGTTTTATTTTGAGAATTGGATGTTTCGGTGCAACGTGTAAGAGTGGAGCAATTTGGGTGGGTGTGTTTTGATTTTTGGGTTTTGTACATAGGGTAAGGTATGTTTGGCTATTGAATTGGGTGGATAGATTTGGTGTCTCTGGGATTTTAAGCATATATATATAATGGGTTCTTGTTGATGTGTGAAAGACATCAAAATATTAATTTATTAGGTTCGTGTGATTGAATTAGTGGAGCTGGGTGTCTGGAGGTAGTGTGGCCACTAAACCTAACCCACTACACCACTACCACCTCACCTACTCCACTAAACCTAACCCACTACACCACTACCACCTCACCTACTCCACTAAACCTAACCCACTACACCACTACCACCTCACCTACTCCACTAAACCTAACCCACTACACCACTACCACCTCACCTACTCCACTAAACCTAACCCACTACACCACTACCACCTCACCTACTCCACTAAACCTAACCCACTACACCACTACCACCTCACCTACTCCACTAAACCTAACCCACTACACCACTACCACCTCACCTACTCCACTAAACCTAACCCACTACACCACTACCACCTCACCTACTCCACTAAACCTAACCCACTACACCACTACCACCTCACCTACTCCACTAAACCTAACCCACTACACCACTACCACCTCACCTACTCCACTAAACCTAACCCACTACACCACTACCACCTCACCTACTCCACTAAACCTAACCCACTACACCACTACCACCTCACCTACTCCACTAAACCTAACCCACTACACCACTACCACCTCACCTACTCCACTAAACCTAACCCACTACACCACTACCACCTCACCTACTCCACTAAACCTAACCCACTACACCACTACCACCTCACCTACTCCACTAAACCTAACCCACTACACCACTACCACCTCACCTACTCCACTAAACCTAACCCACTACACCACTACCACCTCACCTACTCCACTAAACCTAACCCACTACACCACTACCACCTCACCTACTCCACTAAACCTAACCCACTACACCACTACCACCTCACCTACTCCACTAAACCTAACCCACTACACCACTACCACCTCACCTACTCCACTAAACCTAACCCACTACACCACTACCACCTCACCTACTCCACTAAACCTAACCCACTACACCACTACCACCTCACCTACTCCACTAAACCTAACCCACTACACCACTACCACCTCACCTACTCCACTAAACCTAACCCACTACACCACTACCACCTCACCTACTCCACTAAACCTAACCCACTACACCACTACCACCTCACCTACTCCACTAAACCTAACCCACTACACCACTACCACCTCACCTACTCCACTAAACCTAACCCACTACACCACTACCACCTCACCTACTCCACTAAACCTAACCCACTACACCACTACCACCTCACCTACTCCACTAAACCTAACCCACTACACCACTACCACCTCACCTACTCCACTAAACCTAACCCACTACACCACTACCACCTCACCTACTCCACTAAACCTAACCCACTACACCACTACCACCTCACCTACTCCACTAAACCTAACCCACTACACCACTACCACCTCACCTACTCCACTAAACCTAACCCACTACACCACTACCACCTCACCTACTCCACTAAACCTAACCCACTACACCACTACCACCTCACCTACTCCACTAAACCTAACCCACTACACCACTACCACCTCACCTACTCCACTAAACCTAACCCACTACACCACTACCACCTCACCTACTCCACTAAACCTAACCCACTACACCACTACCACCTCACCTACTCCACTAAACCTAACCCACTACACCACTACCACCTCACCTACTCCACTAAACCTAACCCACTACACCACTACCACCTCACCTACTCCACTAAACCTAACCCACTACACCACTACCACCTCACCTACTCCACTAAACCTAACCCACTACACCACTACCACCTCACCTACTCCACTAAACCTAACCCACTACACCACTACCACCTCACCTACTCCACTAAACCTAACCCACTACACCACTACCACCTCACCTACTCCACTAAACCTAACCCACTACACCACTACCACCTCACCTACTCCACTAAACCTAACCCACTACACCACTACCACCTCACCTACTCCACTAAACCTAACCCACTACACCACTACCACCTCACCTACTCCACTAAACCTAACCCACTACACCACTACCACCTCACCTACTCCACTAAACCTAACCCACTACACCACTACCACCTCACCTACTCCACTAAACCTAACCCACTACACCACTACCACCTCACCTACTCCACTAAACCTAACCCACTACACCACTACCACCTCACCTACTCCACTAAACCTAACCCACTACACCACTACCACCTCACCTACTCCACTAAACCTAACCCACTACACCACTACCACCTCACCTACTCCACTAAACCTAACCCACTACACCACTACCACCTCACCTACTCCACTAAACCTAACCCACTACACCACTACCACCTCACCTACTCCACTAAACCTAACCCACTACACCACTACCACCTCACCTACTCCACTAAACCTAACCCACTACACCACTACCACCTCACCTACTCCACTAAACCTAACCCACTACACCACTACCACCTCACCTACTCCACTAAACCTAACCCACTACACCACTACCACCTCACCTACTCCACTAAACCTAACCCACTACACCACTACCACCTCACCTACTCCACTAAACCTAACCCACTACACCACTACCACCTCACCTACTCCACTAAACCTAACCCACTACACCACTACCACCTCACCTACTCCACTAAACCTAACCCACTACACCACTACCACCTCACCTACTCCACTAAACCTAACCCACTACACCACTACCACCTCACCTACTCCACTAAACCTAACCCACTACACCACTACCACCTCACCTACTCCACTAAACCTAACCCACTACACCACTACCACCTCACCTACTCCACTAAACCTAACCCACTACACCACTACCACCTCACCTACTCCACTAAACCTAACCCACTACACCACTACCACCTCACCTACTCCACTAAACCTAACCCACTACACCACTACCACCTCACCTACTCCACTAAACCTAACCCACTACACCACTACCACCTCACCTACTCCACTAAACCTAACCCACTACACCACTACCACCTCACCTACTCCACTAAACCTAACCCACTACACCACTACCACCTCACCTACTCCACTAAACCTAACCCACTACACCACTACCACCTCACCTACTCCACTAAACCTAACCCACTACACCACTACCACCTCACCTACTCCACTAAACCTAACCCACTACACCACTACCACCTCACCTACTCCACTAAACCTAACCCACTACACCACTACCACCTCACCTACTCCACTAAACCTAACCCACTACACCACTACCACCTCCACGTCACCTACTCCACCTACCACCTACTACCACCTACTCATCTATATATAGGAATCATTGTAACATTCAATATATATCAATCAATATTACATCAATAATACAATTCTCTATTTCTCTTTATACATTCAATTTCAACACTACCACCTCCACTTCACCTACTCCACCTACCACCTACTACCACCTACTCTTCTATATATAGGAATCATTGTAACATTCAATATATATCAATCAATATTACGTCAATAATACAATTCTCTATTTCTCTTTATACATTCAATTTCAACATAAAGGTTTATTCTAAAAATATCAAATATTTTATTTAAAAGTTGTGTATTGTTTTGAATTTTGAACATCACTCTAGTCTGACTACGATTTGGACCCTAGCCAATGGGGGTTATTTATTGGCACAAAACTAGTTTTTTGGGGGGGCTTTACCACCAGCCTATGTGTAGTTTTGGGCCTTGTCACGGGCTAAGTGACCGTAGTCACCAAGAGTTGGGTTTTGTGAATCGCATCATTGAACCATCTAAATATTGAACCATTGATTTGGACAACAGAATTTCTTTGAATTACCTCATTGTCTTTTCAATTAAAATGCATTGCTACACTATTTATTTTCAGCTATGAAACCATCTTACAGAATAATTGTTCATTTATTGAATGGTAGCAAAAAAATATATTTATTAGTTATCCACTGTTTCTTTTGTATACTTGATCCAACTAGACGTGATGGTTGGTTATTTACTGGGGTGTCTAGCTTATCCTTATTTTTTTTTCAGATTCTGAGGAGTAGAGTTGCGCGTGATTTTTATTTGTGGGAGTGTCGAGAGTAGGACTATGATTTAAGTACTTGAATTATTGTTTTGTTAGTGGATTTTATTAGTGGACTTGGTGGACAATTTCATATGATAAGAATTATCAATTTTTATGGATTTTAGCATTATGATAATTAAGGATTTAATTGGAGTATTTTACATTGTTGGCTATGTGTTGGACTCTTAGCCTTACATGCTCACTTAAATGACTGTTCGGCGTTGTCACGGAGCTTGAGGCGTGACAATATTGTGGTATCAGAGCCAAGTTATAATTTTAAAGACTGGTATAGAATAGTAGTGAGATTGGGTGGATGTAGGATTGGGAACGCTTATAATTTAGTATAATGTTAATTTTATTTACATGTTATAGAGACTTGAGAATAGAATAAGATGAGGTTTTATTATTGATGCATATAGGTTGCAATGGAACATGAGGAGACATTGGCAAATATGGCTAAGAATATAGGCCAAGGTCAAACGAATTGACGGACTGGTAATAACAATCAGCGAGAGAATGTGACTAATAATGGTAGTGGTTCTCAAGCAGTCAGAGAAAATCAGGGGCAAGAGTTGGGACAACAAGAACAAGTTGCAATCCCTAACCCAGTTAGAATGGTTCAAGTGCTTCAGACTTTGGCCGGGGTGGTGCAACAAAAACCACCATAGGAAATAACTTGACTAGACTTACGGAGCAACAACAACGGATGCAGCCAGGTGTTGGGCCACAACCGAGGGGATGTTGTAACATTACTGAGTTTAAGAAGATAGCCTTGGCATTTGACGGAGCCACAGACCCTTTGGAGGTTGAAAAATGGTTGACAGAAATGGAAAAGTTGTTTCCCGTTTTTGAGTGTACGGATGACCAGAAGGTGACCTATGCTACGTTTATGTTACAAGGGATAGCTAACGATTGGTGGCAGATGGAGAAGCGCATACATGAGCATGATGCCAACCCCTATACATGGGAAAGGTTTAAGAATGCATTCAATGAGAAATACTTCCCTAGGAGTGTTCGTCTACAAAAACAGAGGGAATTTTCAAAGTTAGAGAAAGGGACTAAGATGATTGTTGAATATGAAGCCGAGTTTACGAAGTTGTCTAAATTTGCATCAGCATTTGAAGCAGACGAGGATAGCAAAGCACGAAAGTTCGAAGGTGGGCTAAGAACGAACATTATACAACAGGTGGTTCCTTTCAAGTTACCTACTTTTGGAGTCGTATTGAATAAGGCATTGTTGGTTGAGAGTGGCCTTACTAGAGCCCAAGAAGAGAAAGAAGAAAACTATAAGAAGAGGCCTAGTTCTTCCAACTTCCAAACTAATAACAGTTCGAAGGGCAATGCTAAAAGACAAAACATTTCTTCAATTGGGAGTTGGGGAAGTTGAACTATGGGTGGTAGTGTTGATAAGAAGAATGATCGGATACAGTGCACTAGATGTAATGGATTCCATCACAATAGTGAGTGTCATTAGAATACTAGGGCTTGTTTCTCTTGCGGGCAACAGGGGCATAGAATAGCTGATTGCCCTAACCGAAAGGGGCGTGAGACTAAACAGAAAGTATGGACAAATAAAGGAACTTCAACAGACAATGTGTCTTTAGGAAGTCAAAAGAAAAATGGAGGTCATGAGCCAAAGACTCAGGGTCGAGTGTACGCATTCACGCAACAAGATGTTCAAACTTCCAACATGGTGGTGTCAGGTACTGTTTTAGTGTCTTTTGTTTATACACATGTGTTATTTGATTATGGCGCTACCAATTCATTTGTGTCTATGGGATTTGTTGAGAAACATGGATGGAAATGTGTCTCTAGAGAGATCGACTTATGTGTTGAAACCCCGATAGGAGGTGTTATGGTTGCTAACTTAATTTTCAAATCTCTTGTGGTTAGTATAGATGACAGGAAATTGCTTGTAGACTTGATTATTTTAGATATGCGAGACTTTGACATAATTCTTGGAATGGATTGGTTGGCAACCAATTATGCTTGTGTTGATTGCCGAGGCAAAAGGGTAGTATTTCAGATTCCTAATCAACCAAAATTTTGTTTTGTGGGTAGTGGAGTTAACACTCCTTCTTTAGTAATCTCAGATTTGCAAGCTAGACGATTGTTGAGGAATGGTTGCGAGGGTTATCTAGCTTCTGTGAGAGATACCTGTGAAACTGAATTGAAGTTAGAGGATATTCTAGTTGTGAGGGAATTTCCCGATGTTTTTCCTGAAGATTTACCAGGGTTGCCCCTAGATAGAGAGAATTGATACCCGGTACGGGTCCTATCTCCAAGGCTCCATGTCGGATGGCCCCAGCAGAGTTGAAGGAACAATTACAAGAGTTACTAGATAAGGGCTTCATTAGGCCTAGTGTTTCTCCTTGGGGTGCGCTCGTTTTATTTGTGAAAAAGAAAGATGGTAGTTTTTCCCTTTGCATTGATTACCGAGAGTTGAACAAGGTGACAATTCGAAATAAATATCCTTTGCCTAGGATAGATGACCTATTTGATCAGTTGCAAGGAGCACAAGTCTTTTCTAAGATTGACCTTTGCTCTGGCTATCATCAATTGAAGGTTAAGGTAGAAGATATACCTAAGACAACCTTCCGAACTAGGTATGGGCATTATGAATTTTTAGTGATGCCGTTTGGGTTGACCAATGCGCCTGTAGCTTTTATGGATTTAATGAACAGAGTATTTAAACCCTTTTTAGATCAGTTTGTGGTAGTTTTTGTTGATGACATTCTTGTGTACTCGAAGAGTAAAGAGCAGCACGAAGAATATCTGAGAATAGTGTTACAAATATTAAGGGAGAAGAAATTATTTGCTAAATTAAAGAAGTGTAAATTTTGGTTGGAGAGTGTATCATTTTTGGGTCATGTGATATCTAGAGATGGGGTGTCTGTTGACCCCAAGAAAGTGAAGGCGGTGGTAGAGTGGAATAAGCCTACTAGTGTCACTGAAATTCGTAGCTTCTTGGGTTTAGTAGGTTATTATAGAAGGTTTGTTGAGGGATTTTCTTGAATTTCTATGCCTTTGACTCATTTAACACAAAAAGGGCGAAATTTGAATGGTTTGATGATTGTGAGAAGAGTTCCTAGGATCTAAAGAGTCGATTTGGTGTCTACTCCAATACTTATAGTTCCGTCCAGAGATGAAGGTTTTACCATCTATAGTGATGCATCGAAGATGGGCTTGGGTTGTGTCCTGATGCAGAATGATAAGGTAGTGGCATATGCATCTAGGTAGTTGAAGCCATATGAGCAGAATTATCCTACGCATGATTTGGAGTTGTTTGCCGTGGTGTTTGCATTGAAAATCTGGAGGCACTACCTGTATGGGGTGAAATGTGAGATATTCACTGATTATAAAAGTTTGAAGTATATTTTCACTCAAAAAGAATTGAATATGAGGCAAAGGCGATGGTTGGAGCTATTAAAGGACTATGATTTGACTATCAATTATCATCCAGGAAAAGCCAATGCAGTGGCGGATGCCATGAGTAGAAAGACCCCGAGTAATTTGGCTACCTTGATCACTAACCAAAAGAATATCTTAGACGACTTGCGAAGGTTGAATATTGAGATTAGATGGCACAACCATGGAGTGCAGTTGGCAAACCTTAGGGTTCAACCCACATTGATTGATAGAATTAAAGATGCTCAAGGAAGAGATCCTCAGTTGCAAAAACTTAAGGTTGAAATGGAAATAAGGCTTCAGATGGAATTTTGTATGCATTAAGATGGAACCTTGAGATTTGGAGAGAGGTTGTGTGTGCCTAATGATTTAGATCTCAAGAGAGAAATCCTGAGAGAAGCTCACAGTTCAGGGTATACGGTATATCTAGGGAGCACTAAAATGTATAAAGACTTGAAGAGTAACTTTTGGTGGAATAATATGAAGAGGGAAATTGCTCAGTATGTTGCTCAATGTTTGGTATGTCAACAAGTGAAAGTTGAACATCAAAGACCTGCAGGTAAGTTACAACCTCTTCTTATTCCCGAGTGGAAGTGGGAACATATTACCATGGATTTTGTGACAGGGTTGCCTAGAACCCAAGGTGGGAACAATGCTATTTGGGTTATCGTTGATCGATTGACAAAATCCGCCCACTTTCTAGCTTTTAAGGTGGGATTCTCCTTAGAGAGGCTTGCCAAATTGTATATCAAGGAGATTGTGAGGTTGCATGGTATTCCAATGACCATAGTGTCTGACAGAGATAGCAGATTTGTATCTATGTTTTAGAGAAGCTTGCATGCGGCTTTGGGTACTAAGTTGAATTTTAGCACTGCCTTTCATCCTCAGACTGATGGACAGTCAGAGAGAATTATTCAAACCTTAGAAGACATGTTAAGGGCTTGTGTTATTGATCTTGGAGGTTCTTGGGATGAGTATTTGGCCTTAGTGGAATTCTCTTATAATAACAGTTATTATGCGAGCATTCAGATGACACCATATGAGGCTTTATATGGACGAAAGTGTAGATCACCTATTTGCTGGGATGATGTGGGCGAAAGGAAGTTGTTAGGACCTGAGATTGTGCAACAAACAGTGGACAAGATCAATCTTATTAGAGAGCGACTTTGCACTGCACAGAGTAGACAGAAAAGTTATACAGATAATAGGAGACGCGATTTGGTGTTTGGGGTTGGAGACCATGTGTTCCTTATGGTGTCTCCTATGAAAAGAGTAATGAGGTTTGGTGTTCGGGGTAAATTGAGTCCTAGATTTGTTGGACCATTTGAGGTTTTAGATCGAGTTGGAGAGGTAACTTACAGACTTGCCCTACCACCTTCACTAGCTGGAGTTCATAATGTTTTTCATGTCTCAATGTTAAGGAAGTATATACCGGATCCTAGTCATGTGATTGATCATGCACCGTTACAGTTTAAGGAAAATTTGAACTACGAGGAACACCCTATATGAATTGTTGATAGGAAGGAACAAGTTTTAAGGCGTCGAGTCATCCACTACGTTAAGGTTCAATGGAGTAATCACTCGGAAAGAGAAGCTACTTGGGAACTCGAAGATGAAATAAGACAAAAGTATCCACAACTTTTTGAGACTCCAGGTATGTCAAATTTCGAGAACAAAATTTCTTTTAAGGGGGGAGAATGTAAAACCCAAGTTATTTATAGAATTATTTTTGGATAGATTAATAATTAAAATAAATTGTATGGGTAATTTAGTAATCTTAAGAACTAGGTTTTTTTAACCCTTTTAAAAAGAAAAAAAAAAGAGGTTTTCACGTTATGTGGTATCACAATATTACAGACGTTTCGGAAGAGAGACTGCTGTAGAGATTGAAGGCTCAAATTGGTGATAGTTGAACACCCATTGGTGGAGGTAAAAGTTCTCCTATATTACTGATTATTAGTTTTATTTTGAGAATTGGTTATTTGGGTGCAATGTGTAAGAGTGGAGCAATTTGGGGTTTTCCCAAAATAAGCCTATTTTGCATTGTATTTCCCAAACTAGGCCAACTTCTTCCCAAAATAAGCTGAAGCGCCATTCCCATTCGCGATTTTACTGTGAGGAGGTCGAAATTGGATGAACAGTGTAATCGCTATTCCAATTAGCGAGTTTGACTAAGAAAACGCTATTGCAAATAGCGCTTCTAAACAAAACACTATTCTGAATTCGGAATGCAGGTTTGTGAAGAAAACGCTATTACAAATAGCGCCTTTACTGTTGACAAAAACGCTATTCGGAATAGCGCCTTTAGTTCTGAAGAAAACGCCATTTCCAATAGCGTTTACACTGTACACCCAACTCCCATTTCTTTCCTCATTAGCAGATTATTTTTTTATTTTTTATTTTTTATTTTTTTTGTCTGTTGTCATTGTTTTGGTGATAATATGATTCATAAAATTGAAATTGGCTTTACTAAAGCTATTGTCATGTTAAAATATGTTTTTTTTTTCTTTTGTTTTTGAATGCAGGTTTACAATAAATTTTACATAATATGAGAAAAATCTCTTTTCATATATTAATTTTACATACTATTTTTCATATATATAATTTTAAAATCATATTCATTTAGATATTATTAAGCCAATCATATTCATTTAGATATTATTAAGCCAATCATATTCATTTAGATATTATTAAGCCAATCATATTCATTTAGATATTATTAAGCCAATCATATTCATTTAGATATTATTAAGCCAATCATATTCATTTAGATATTATTAAGCCAATCATATTCATTTAGATATTATTAAGCCAATCATATTCATTTAGATATTATTAAGCCAATCATGTTCATTTATTTGGCTTTACTGAAGCCATTCTCATGTTAAATTTTTTATTTTTTCTTTTGTCTTTGTTTTGATTTAGAAAATGTAATTAATAATTTTTTTCGTCTTACTGAAGTTGTTTTCATGTAAATTT